CACGTTGAACGATCGTATATAAAATGGGCCAGAACGAAATACGTTCAAAATAAATCCCTTTATTATCAAATATACATTACAAATTGTGAGGTATAAAATATTAAATGCTCTATAAGCTACAATTGAGAGCAAACTAATTTCTCGGTCGATCGCCAAGTAAGAGGGTGAACTGGCCTTGATTGCCATCCTGATCGCACTGCTGCAAAGGTAGGCAGAGAGGCCGAGAAGCACTCTTAGCAAGCAAAAGGGAAGAAAAGCACCCTCACATCGCCTACCTAATCGCATTGATGTAATAATGGGCAAGGAGACTGAGAAACACTCTCAGCAAGCAAGGTAGCTTGACAGGCATCCTCAAAAATTGCCTTCCATCATTGAACTCCTTGTAAAGAACATAGAGACGATGGGAAGAACTTCGCTGGCCAAAGAATATTTCCTATATCTCCCATACCAAAGGTGATATCAAAACAGATAGCAAAATGGACGGATCAAATGATCCATTTCTATGGAAGACAAAAATTTTGGATCGATTGTTGAAATGCCAAACGATAGCAGTAAATTAGTCTTTGAAGGAAAGAATGGAAATGAAAATGAAAATGAAAAGTGCGAAATATACGTGCATTTATAGGGGCGTGAAGGTGAAGAGACAGAATATGAACGGCCGCATTCATGCATAGTAATTGGAGTCAAGTGGCCCAAAGTCTTGAAAAAAGAGACAGAAATACCAAGAGAGAATGTACATGAATCTTAGCATAAAGCAGTTAAATGCTTGGGAGGTTGACGATTAAGGACAACGTCAATTAGCACGCAAGTAGTCAAAATAGTCGTTCATTAATGATCATGGCTGCTATTACATTCAAATTCAGCAATGGCAGTTAGTACGAAGTTAGAAAAGGAAAATTTAAGGCATTAGATGTCTTAATTACAATTCACCCCAGGCCGATCGAATTCTTTCCCTAAGTCTCCCCCAATCCTTGCTCTGCTGAGAAGAATTGACATTTAATTCAGCTACAAAATCGTCATCAACCTCCAGCTTTTTGTACTGCTCGACCAAGGACTTGGTTCGCTCAATTCCTTGGGAAGCATTACGCTTTTTAGTAGCTATTCTCTCCTTACAGTCGTCCATCCTTGCTTGAAGCTACTTCATCTCTCCAGCCAAACTTGTCATCAGAGAGTCTTCGATCATAACTTCGGAAGAGATTTCTTTCAATTCGTCCTCGGCTTTGTTAATCTCTAGAAGCAAAGACTCTCTTTCAGATGCAGTGCGAAGATATTGAGTACTCCTGGCCTTCAATTCAACATTTTTGGCCAACAAAGAGAGGATGTTGGAGTGGACAACCTTCAACGTCGCTTTAAAATCAGCAGAGATATTGAGCGACGGAAGTGTCAGTGCTTGCGCCAACTTCGCACTCAATAGCTCAAGCTTATCCTTATGTTTAGTAGCACTAGCCTGACCGATGTCCATGTCCGTAAAAGACACATACTCAAATATCGATTGTTTGAGGAACTTCATATCTTCCTCTGAAGAAGCAGAAGGACGACCAGTTGAAGTAGGGCGAGACGTCTTAACTTACCCCCAGGAAGTGAACAAGTCTTGGATGGAACGCACAATGTCATCAGCACCCTGCAAAGAAAAATGCCAACGTTGAGGGCTTTCACTACAATAAACGAAGCGAAAATGAAAGTGAAGCGAAAAGTTACCTCATCAGCAATCTTGGGAAGTGGCATATCATCAGTTGGCTCCACCACCTATGGAGACTTCCCTTTTTCTGGGCGAGAAGAATTTGCCACAATGGGCAGACCCATGGGAGCCTCTGCAGAATTCAAGAAGCAACAAATCAGAAACCAATAGCACAACCAAAGCTAAAACATCAAAAAATGTATTACCTTCTGGTTCGATGTTTGGGGGGTCGGCACTCTGGGAAGAAGGTGGCTCTTCCATTGATTGTGATGAGGGTTCTGGGACTGAAGGTTTCTCTTTAAGCATAGTCCTTTCACCAGCTAATTTGGATGATGCAGCTTCAGCAGAGGATGATGGAGCAGGAGCTGCCAACACCAAAGCCTTCAAAGGAGGGGCTGAACTTTTCAGAGAAATTCAAGTAAACCATTAGCACATAGAAAAGTTTCAAGTAAACCATTAGCACATAGAAATATATGTTTGTGAATAAATAGAATTCAATTACCTTTCTCCTAACGATGAGGGGAGCGTCGTCATCATCATCACATCATCCTCCTCCAAAGTGGGAGATGCTGAAATTGGCCGTTTGCGGCTCAAGCACTTTTAGCTGCAGTAGCCTTGGCAGGTAGAGAAGTAGATGGACGAATAGATTGTTTAGCACGAGCGGGAGAGGAAGGATTCCTAATGGACACAGGGGTGACCAAAATAGGAGAAGTGGAAGAAGTGTTTCGCTGATCCAGTGAATGGAAAGCACGATTGGCATCAATTGCAAACAATCTGCGCTTCACTGATGGCCGAAGTTGTTCAAAAAGGGGATGGATGACACGACTAGAATTGAAGGGGGCTAATGAAAACTTGCTCGTCAAAAGAAGGTTACGAGCATCTATAGCTTGTGCCTCTGGCCTATTAATGGTGTGAAAGCGGTCTGTCAAATTTTTAGAGTAACAAAGAGGGACAGGCCAAGTTTGGCCAAAACCAAGTTGGCGAGCAAAAAATTAGGGAGCATATATTTAAACCCCAACTTTCGCATTGGTTTCAGTTAAGTTATCGTGGAATAATTCCCTCCCAATCAAAAATTGAACCCAAACAAGCAGAGAGGCACTCGCACTGTCTAGGGTGGATGGAAGTTGCACATAATCTGAGGTCAAATGAGCAGGAAAATGAAAGAAAGAAGGAATCGAATTTAATGAATAAAAGAATGAAAAAAATGTCTCTACTGGACATATGTACAGGGGTCAGTGGATCAATGGCTAACCCATAGCAGCTAGCCGAACGATTGGAAATGGATGGAGCACCAAGTGGTGGAAAATATGCTCTCAACCACAACTGAGTAAACCAAAGGGGGCCACTGCCAGTGGGAGATGCACCATTCTTCAGTTGAAACTGAAGGGAAGCCATGCCTCTATAAAGGGCGGCTAGAAAGAAAGAACATAAGTTCAAAGGTCTACTACGCGTCAATTCATGCGCTATGGGTAAGTAGCTCGTGGAAGATTTCATACTTGGCACGCAAAGAATATATTTACAAAGCCAAATCTGAAGGAAAGCCACATGCTCAGTATGGGAAGGTTCAGCGCTTGAGTGATTATAAGAGCTTTGCAGGCTTGAATAGGACTCAGTGAGTTTCTTGTCAAATTTCGGGGCGACACCGGAAATCAAAATACCAGGGAAAATGGTATCGCCCAAAGGTGGAAGATTTATTAGGGCCCCAACATCCCTTAAAGTAATAGACATTGAACCAAGAGGGAAAACAAATTTATTATATTCAAAAGACCAAAAACTTAAAGCAATAGGAAAAAGCACTGGGTCAAAAATTGGGGGTTGAAGAGCGATTTCTAATAAATCAGAAATCCTAGCACGATCAAAAATTGCCTTAGTAGGACCATGGCCCACAAGACGAGCATGCCATCTACGGAAAATAACATCAGATTTAGGCCAAGTGCGAATACCTTTTTGCGAATCGGTCTCAGCGGCAAAGAGTTCAAGAACGGAGGGTCTTGAGTGCAAGGGAACAGCTGGCCCCCGCCACTTGTTCGACGGCTTCGACATTATCGAATGATGGACCCAAGTAGAATTCATTGAGGTTAGCACTAACTTGTGTAAGGAAGTTTGGATTTACATATGGCGTAGTAAGGAGTTCCTGAAAATCTTCGAAACTAAAGGAATCATCAAATTGAGTTTTTGAAGTCGTCATTGGAAACAAAGTACAGTTTTGACAAGGTTTGCCTGGGAAACGTAGCAGAGAAGCAAGAAGATGAACAGTAAAATTGCAAGGAAGAAGCACGAAATATAGACGTGGTCGAGTGGTGCAATGAAATAGCGTGTTCTTTTGATTTATAAGGGTTTGTAACGTTGTACTTTTTCAGATTGTAGAAGGAAATAATGATTGAAATTGTTGGGAATTTCAAATATTGCTGGAAAATACAAAATGAATATGGCAAAGATTAATAATTAGTATTAATTCTGCCATATTGGGGGGTAATTGTTGACACACTAAAAGTGCAGCCCAAATCGAATAGTCCAAGGAATAAAAGCCCAATTAGGCAATTCAGGATAAAAGCCCAGACAGAGTTATTAATGAATGCAGTGGAAGCCCACGAACACAGTAACATCATCGCCCAAACTTGCAAGATTGTCCAAGATTTGAGCGAATGGAGTGTCTTACAGTCGCCCAGAGCGATGACCCTGTTCTCACCCATACCTTCGAATAGCCCAAGATTTTAGCAAACATAAAATGTTATGGTTATCCAGAAATACAGTTATTGAAGCGGTTATTGAGTAACCTTATCACATTCCACGATTCAAGGAACCCAATTGAAGGCGGTTGAAAGACAAAGAGTAGTGACAACAATTAGAGACAGCAGTTCCACGACAAGTTAGCCACTATAAAGAAAGTGGGTAGTTATAAAGCAGTCAAGCAGTTTCCAAGCGATTTGTCACGAAAAAATCATCAAGGGAATATAAAAGGAAGAGAAAACATAGAGAAAAAAAACCCGAATCAAACACTCTCAAACAGAGAATATGTAATTTCAATTTCTTAATTTTAAACATTTTTTTCAGTACTCGTGTGCTTGCGCCCCTTGGAGGCATTCTGTTTAGTTCCAATTGTAAATCATCGTCAATAAAACACCTCTTTTTGGGACTTTGTCTCAAGAGGTTTGTTCCTTACGTAATCGTCTGATCCCTTTTTAATTGTTAGCGACTACCCGCGCGAAACATATGTATAATTTCTTAACGGTAAACTCAGTCACAGGCTTTTAAGATCAATGTTTTTATATGAACCGTGGATTCGCTGAGCAACTAGATGAGAAATTTACGAGAGAAGAAGTAAATAATCTTTTGCAATCTTGCATTACATCAAGATTATAACTTTAATATATATACAAAATCAGATGAGTAAACATGGCTGAGCATTATCCTCAGTTTGAGATTTTAGAAAAAGGCTTCAACTGCTACGAGACACAGAACAATAATATCCTTTTTAAGCAGTTGCACTTGTGCTTGGGTCCGTACATCTTCGTCTCCTAAGGGGGTAGTCTCTGGCCACCTTGGTCAGAATCATCATCAGGAACGGCATAACTGCGGAAAGGATAACAAAGGACAGAGAGAGTATACCATTCGGTGCGATGGCACCCATACACGTGTCATACGTTGCAATGAGTGCACAAAGTGAGACTTGCAATTCCAATTGTAAAGGGAAATTAACAGTGAGAAAATATAGCATGTGAACAGACATAAAAAACCCGATTGAGTTAAAAAGCAAGAATAGACCGAATGAAACTGTATTCTTCGTGCCCATCACCGCCTTTCCAGCAGTGTGTGCTGGTGGATTTGTGGCATCATTGATGGCGGTCGTGTTACTGGTAGGCCAAAAGTCGTCCTGCCAAACACCGCCAGGTGGACTAAGCACGGCTTGATACGTTGCAGTTGCAATTAATACAGCCACAACAAGCAATGTATTTCTGACTTTGCTTGGAGAGTCTTTAGTTTTGTCATATTTGAAGTAGTCCTTCAATTTTTTAGAGGGCTTTGGAGGCCTCTCTCTCCTCAATCCATGTGCTGATGCATCCTGAGTGGCAGTAGTCCTGTTTTCTGTTTGCATTGCCTGTTGGTCTAGGTTCATGTTTTCAACTCCTGAAGCCCCAGCTAGCCTAAGCATTTGTTCAATTTCACGATCACCCCCTTCTGATAGCAATACATCAAGTGGTGTAAGACCCCTTTTGTTTAAGGAATTCAGCTCCAACTTTCCCTTGTTAACAAAATTTTCATCCAGCAACAACTCAACGACCTGATAAGGAATTTATGTTCAGATTATACAGAGAAATAACAATAAATAGACTGCAATATATAAGTCAAGACAAAAACATCAATAAATATTTGGCATATTAGATTAGACGGTACTAAATAGGATTAAAGAAGAAAGAAAAGTTAAAGTTTTGACACAATACTGTCCTATGCTATGCTATGATTCTTGAACTCGGGTACAAGTACATATTTAAGTGTCAGATCTTTTATTTTTTAAAATGTAGGATACTGGATCATGGCTAAAAGGAGTCCAAATTTCGTTGATATAACTTTTTTATCAACCTTGTTAACCTCTCAACAGTATGGTTTTTTTGTCAACCTGATTAACCTAAAATCATTAGTATCAATGGAAACAATAACTCATATGACGAAAATCAGGAAAATTGTGTAACATTTGGAAGATATAAACACTTGCATAAATTGTTGTGTCCCCGTGTCGACACAGGTACTCCAACGATTTCGAAGAGTCCGAACATCACAGCTGCCATGTACAACACGTGTCTCAAATGGTAACATACTTGCCTCGTATTGCTTTCTGGAGACTGCAAGATGCAAGATGGTGTTCCCTTGTGCATCCTTCTCATTCAGTATATACTCCTTATCATAGGTCTTCAGGTACACTGCCAGGCTCTTAAGGGCTTCAAATTTGTTGTTTTTCACAGCCAGATGGAGAGAAGTTTCACGGCGAGCCGTCACTTCTCTTATGCTATCTTCACAGGCTGAAAGCAGTTCTCCAATCACATGCGTTCTGCCGTTGATCACTGCATAATGGAGGGGAATTCTTCTCTCTTTTCCCTTTACCAAACACAAATTATAATCTATTTTCAAAAGCTCCTTTACAATATCTAAATCCCCATTAGCTGCGGCAATATGCAAGGGACTGAAACCTTCATTGCTCAAATCTTTTGTGAATTCCGGCCTCAGATTTAGGAGCTCATTGACAAAATTAAGGTTGCCTCCCATGCAAGCAATATGTAATGGAGTTTCTCCACCTAATAATGCAACAGCCTTAAGCAGGAAGGGATCATCTTTGACCAGACTAAGCAGTTGATGAACATCTCCCTTCTGAGCAGCCTCAATCAACCTTCTATCCATTGTTGTGGAGAGAAATCTGCTGCCTTAGATCAATATATTGAGCCAATTTTGGATGGTCTTATCGATACTTCCAACTTCCCAAATTCAACTCTAATGAGAATAGAATATTGTCTGAGATCATTGAAGCTTTCATCATGTTGATTTATAATTGGCGAAGAAAGTCAAAAGGATTGAATTATTGATTATAATATATGTATTTATGAATTCAAATACAAAGTAGAGGTGGAAGATTGTCACTGTGTAAACAAGAAGGCTTTAATATAGATACATCTCTTGCCCTATGGTTGAAGAATGTTTATTATTATGTACCTTCTCTTTATTTTATTTAATGTGAAACCCAAGAAATAATTAGATCATCACATTTCACGAATGTGAAAATGCCATCTGTGTTGGTATACTTTATATGCAGTGTATATAAGTTTGATGGTCAACCTGCAGCGCATTCTGTTTAAGTAAAATAAGGGACTTCGTGGATGGGATGATTGTACAAAAAAGTTTAAAAAATAAATAAATAAAATAAAATAAAAATCTGCTGAGAACGTGAGAAATGTAGGTTTCTTCAATTTTTATTTATTGTTTTACTTCTCAACAATAAACTCGCTCTCACAGGCTTTTAAGATAAATAAAAGCTCAGATAGTTTTGCGGTTTTGCAGCCTTGTATCAATTGCAATACTTTTGGATGGTTTAATCACTACATTGAATATTCCAAATTCTTTGCTTTAGTGTGTATGATAATTTGGGAATGCTTATTTTGGAAATGCCTAGGTTAATACAAAAAAAATGTCAGAGATCACAGATCCTTTTATCATGTTGACAAAGTAATTTGTGCAGAAAATCCAAGGATGAGACACTATGATAAATATATCTTGAGAATTCAATGCCCAGTAGAGGTGACAATTGTTGGAGACTAGTTTGCGAGAGATAACTTGTTTAAGATTGCCATTGAGTAAGCCGGAGAAGCATTCAGTATAGTAATCTCTTTTACATTGATTCACATTATTTTTTTGTTCAAAATTGTTGAAATATCAAAATCAACTGTGTAATCTTATTAGTTTAGTCAAACTTTTGGTATTTAAAATCGTCCTACTCTCAACATGTAAGAAAGACACATTTACATTCCCTTCCGGATGCAGTACTAAAAAATTATTCAGAAAAAAGTTCAAAATTTTGTTTCGAAAAGGGCAAAGGATTTCCCAACACTTCAACTTATCTACATAAATGTGTGTAAATGATGGGAAAAAAATCACATTTAATCAGAATCACTGCATGTATTTCAACTCCTAAAGTAAATAATGGAAGTAATTGATCATCTGTATCGATAAGCTTTATTACATGGAAAATTTCACTTAAATATGTCTACTTTTAAGATTTGATGTCCCTCTGTCGTCTCCAATTCTTCCAAGCTTTTTTCCCCCACCGGGCAGCCATTGCTGTGCAAATGGCAAAGTGATGGCAAATGTTAAAAGAAAATAAGCTGTTGCTTCGTTTCTGGCTTTTGTTCTTTTGAGTGTAGAATTGATCGCAAAACCACAAGTGAACATCATCGAGTATAGGGATATGAGAAGTTCCCTTGAAATGGAAATCCTCCTGTGAGATAAATTATGATGCACAGTGATGCAGTGAGGCCTAAAGAGCTGGTGAACATGAACATAAATGCAGTAAAGTAGCATGAGACCCGAAAATTGCTGCAGCTGCAGCTAATCCAAATACCTACGCTGGTCCAATCAAATGTCTTACACCACCAGTTTGATTTCAAGGAGCATTGTTATAAAAAATGTCTGCCGGAGGATTTACTTAAGCAGTCATTCGACAAATTATTTAGCATAATGATTCCCGACACGAATTCGTGTTTTCTATTTCGCTCGTTCTCAAAAATTCCAACTCACAAGTTATTTGATCAATTATACTATTGTCACCCATAGACAAAATAAAAAATAAAAATTTAAACTCACAAAAATATTTACACAATCTTGTCTATGATTAAGATGAAATATCCGGTGATCAAGTAGAGTTTAATCCTCTGTACAATTATGCTATATAATTAAATTTGACAAGTAGTCCGTTTAATACACTTCAAACTAAGTAGTGTTACCATAAACAGATTCTATGATAAGGACAAATCTTACATCCAAACGATAAATAGTCAGCACTACAACATCCGGTACAAGATATCAATCCTAATACGTTGGTCGTGAACAATTTTATTCATTTATCAAAATATAAGTGGTGTCACAATGTGCTTTTTGACACAAGCACCCAACTTTTATCATAACAAGTCGCGTGCACAATATTATATAACAGGTAGGAATATTAAATGAATGAAAATAAAAAAAATCATAAAATTGTTATTTTATTACATTAAAAACTATTCTATATGGAACCACTACACAACAAAGAGCAGGTGTAATTCTTCAAATATCAACAGAATCAAAGCTCTAAGTTATTAATTACTACACACAATTTTTTGCTGGATAGGATCTTAAAAACAATATTGATCAACACATACAAACTGAAAAGATTAAATATAAAAAGATTTAGAAGAATAATCCTTCCTTAGGCAGTCTGCGATGTAGTTTTACGGTAATCTCTGGCCACCTTGGCCAGAATGCCTATCAGTAATGGCATAGAGATGGAAATGATAACAAATAGCAGGGATAGATTGCCAGTTGCCAATTCGCTCATACAAGTATCGTACGTTACTGACAGTGCCAAAAGTGAGACTCGCAATTCCAATTGTAAAGGGAATCCAAAAGTGAGAAAAAGTATCATCTGAACAGATGTGAAAAACCCGATTGAGTTGAAAATCAGGAATAGACCGAATGAAACTGAATTCTGTGATCCCATTACTGCCTTTCCAGCAGTATGTTCTGGTGGCCGTGTGGCGTCATTGATGGTGGTCGTGTTCCTGTTACTTATAGACCTAAAGTCGTCCTGCTGCCAAACACCACCAGGTGGACTAAGGACGGCTTGATATGTTGCAGTTGTGATTAATATAGCTACCACAAGCAATGTACTTCGGACTTCACTTGGAGTCTCTTTAGCTTTGTCAAATTTGAAGTAGTCCTGCAATTTCTTATATGGCTTTCGAGGCCTTTCTCTCCTTAATTCATCATTTGGATCATGAGTGGGAACGATCCTGTTCTCTATTTGTGTTGTCTGTTGCACTGAAGCCCCAGCTAGACGAAGCATTTCCTCAATTTCAACATCACCCCCTTCTGATAGTAATACATCAAGTGGTGTAAGGCCCCTTTTATTCAAGGAATTCACCTCCAACTAGCCTTTCCTAACACAATTCTCATCCAGCATCAACTCAACAACCAGAGAGAGAGAGAGAGAGAGAGAGAGGAACTTTATTCAGAGTGTAATGCATAGACTCAACGATATCACAACTCTAAAATAGATAGAACGCTAAAAGCATATTTATCTGGTTTGTGGTAATGCATAGTATATCTCTTCCAATCCATCCTGCCAAAAAAGAGATAAGATGTTGGTATTTGCGTCGTATTGCTTTCTGGAGACTGCAAGATGCAAGATGGTGTTCCCTCGTGCATCCTTCTTATTCAATATATCCTCCCTATTATTGGTCTTCAGGTACACTGCCAGGCTCTTAAAGGCTTCAAATTGGTTGTTTTTCACAGCCAGATGGAGAGAAGTTTCACCACGAGCCGTCACTTCTCTTATGCTATCTTCACAGCCTGAAAGCAGTTCTTTAATGACTTGTATTCTGCCTTTGATCACTGCATAGTGTAGGGGAATTCTTCTTTCCTTTCCCTTAACCATACACAAACTACGATCTGTTCTCAGGATCTCTTTTACAATCTCTATATCCCCATTAGCTGCAGCAATATGCAGGGGGCTGAAACCGTCATGGCTCAATTCTCTTGCAAATTCTTTACTCAGATTTAGAACCTCTTTTGCAAAACTCAGGTTTCCGGCCATACAAGCAATATGTAACAGAGTTTCTCCACTTGATAATGCTACAGCCTTCATCAGGAAAGGATCGTCTTTGATCAGATTTTGCAGTTGATGAACATCTCCCTTATGAGCAGCCTCAATTAGCCTTCTATCCATAGGTTGCAGATAATTTTTCTGAGCCTAAGATCAGTTGTACCATTTCTGGATGGTCCAAATAAAAACTAGCAATTTAAACTTTTGTCAATTCTTGTCTTATTATCCATTCTTGTCTTATTTAACAAAAATCTCAAAGGAGTTAGAAAGCTCCAATATATATATATATATAGATATAGATATGATTGTTTACCCTTCTAATCAATCTCAGTAACTTAATTTATATTTTTCAATGGTCTTGTGAACCAATACACAAATGTCAATGTTTAATCAGGGTTAAACTCCGAGCTTATATTTATTACCGTTTAACAGGAAAAAATACTTAAGCAGTCATTCAACCCATTTTTCAGGGTGAAACACGAATTTGTGTTTTCTACTTCGCTCGTCCTCAAGATCTCAACTCACAAGAATTTTGATCAATTAAATTGATGTTACCCATTGATTAATAAAAGAATATTAAACTCACAAAAAGTTGATGTTAGAATTGAGTGTTAGATAAATGACATTTCAAATCAAAATAAATCAGCAATTATGAATTTAGTGTTGAAAAAGCTATGAGGTTGGGAAGTTTTTCCAAATGAAATTATTCAGTCGTTGAAAAGGCTATGAGTTGGGAAGTTTTTTCAAAAGAAGTATGTAGTGGTCATTTTGTCCAAAGAAGTAGATGTCTCGTGATAATTAATCTAATGTCCCCATCAATTTTCAAGTGCAAGTTGACAAACTCTAAGGTAATCTAGTGATCTCAGTTTAATTGAATAAACCCATTTTCACCCAAATGGACAGTGGACAGTCTTTCAAGTACGACTTTTGTCAAGGTCTCCAAATCTTCTTTCGAGTACGACTTCTGTCAAGGTCTCCATGTCTTTCAAGTATGACTTTTGAAGTATTCCTGCAATTTTTTAGAGGGCTTTGGTGGCCTCCCTCTCCTGCAGTTAATAGTCCTGTTTTCTATTTGCGTTGCCTGTTGGTCTGGGTTCATTTCTTCAACTCCTGAAGCCTCAGCTAACCTAAGCATATGTTCAATTTCCAGATCACCCCCCTTCTGATAGTAATACATCAAGTTGTGTAAGACCCCTTTTGTTCAAGGAATTCAGCTCCAACTTTCCCTTGTTAACAAAATTTTCATCCAGCACCAACTCAACTACCTGTTAAGGAATTTGTATTCGGATTATACAGAGAAATAATAATACATAGACTGCAATATAATAAGTCAAGACAAAAACATCAATAAATATATGGCATAGTAGACTAGATGTAATAAATAGGATTAAAGAAGAAAGTAAAGTTAGACATAATACTGTCTTATGCATTGCTATGATGCTCGAACTCGACTACCGGTACGTGTCTAAGTGTCGGATCTTTTATTTTCTAAAATGTAGAATACGAAAACATGGATAAATAGAGTCCAAATTTCGTTAATATGACCTTTTTGTCAACATATCAACAATATGATTTTTTTTCTCAACCTTACTAACCTAAAGACAATAGTAACGATGGAAACAATAACTCATTTGACTAAAATCTGCTGCCTTAGACCATTGATCCTTACATCATGTTGATTTATAATTTGTGAAGAAAGTCAAAAGGATTAGATTATTGATTTATAATATATGTATTTATGAATTCAAATACCCAGTAGAGGTGGAAGATTGTCACTGTGTAAACAAGAAGGCTTCAATAAAGATACATCTCTTGCCATATGGTTGAAGAACGTTTATTACTATGTACCATCTCTCAATTTTATTTAATGTGAAACCAAAGAAATAAGTAGATCATCAAATTTCACGAATGTGAAAATGCCATCTGTGGTGGTATACTTTTTATGCAGTGTATACAAGTTTGATGGTCAACCTGCAGAGTAAAATAAGGGACTTCGTGGATAGGAAGATTATACCCAAAAAAAAATAATAATAATAAAAAAATAAAAAAATTCTGCAGAAAACACGAGGAATGTGGTTTCTTCCATTTTTATTTATTGTTTTACTTCTCTACAATAAACTCGCTCTCACAGGCTTTTAAGATAAAATAAAAGCTTAGATAGTTTTGCGGTTTTGCAGCCTTATATCAATTGCAATACATTTGGATGGTTTAATCACTACATTGAATATTCCAAATTCTTTGCTTTAGTGTGCATGATAATTTGGGAATGCTTATTTTGGAAATGCCTAGGTTAATACAAAAAAAATGTCTGAGATCACAGGTCCTTTTATCTTGTTGACAAAGTAATTTGTGCAGAAAATCCAAGGATGAGACACTATGATAAATATATCTTGAGAATTCAATGCCCAGTAGAGGTGAAAATTGTTGGAGACTAGTTTGCGAGAGATAACTTGTTTAAGATTGTCATTGAGTAAGCCAGAAGCATTCAGTACAGTCATATCTTTTACATTGATTCACAGTATTTTTTTTATTCAAGATTGTTGAAATATCGTAATCAACTATGTAATCTTATTTAGTTTAGTCAAACTTGCGGTATTTAAAATCTTCCTACCGTCACCATGTAAGAAGGACATATTTACATTCCCTTCTGGATGCAAGGCTCAAAAATTATGTAGAAAAAAGTTCGAATTTTTTCTCCAAAAAGGGCGAAGGATTTCCCAATACTCCAATTTATCTATATAAATGTGTGTAAATGATGGGAAAAAATCATACATTCAATCAGACTCACTGCATTTATTTTATTAGTCCAATTCATTAGAAGTATCAGGTATTCTGTCAAATTCTTCCCCTGCATAAATGATGTACCATTCTGTTTTAGTTAAGATCTATGACTAGATGTCGAGTGATTTGTTTCTACTTATCATATATAAACTATTTCAACATTCTACTAAAGTAAATAATGGAATTAATTGATCATCTGATGTAGGGGAATAACTCAGTAAGTATAACAAGAAGAGATGCGGGAAGGGAAGAGAAGAAGAAGACAGAGGCGGGGGAAGAGAGGAAAAACGGCTGCAAACCAACTCTTTTATTTAATCAAATTCATCAACTGAAAAATAACAATATAAAATAGGTTTAAATACTAGAAAATACTGCAAACCTAGGGTCAAGCCCAATACACAAGTCCATAAAATTAAAATAACCTAAATCCAACTAAAATAATTAAAACTGCTAAAATAATTAAAATGGACTGGGATGTCCTCATCAATTCTTCCGGGGTGGGAGAGAAAACTCGACCCTGTCGAGTGGCTATATCACCATAGGCATCCGTCAATCTCCCAATCATAGGCTGAGTGGCTGGGCAAGCTTCTTCCGGCGTCTGTAGAAATGCGTCAGTGGCGGTCTGAACCTGGTGTCCTCCCTCGGGTGGACGGGAGGCGATCTGGGCCAATGAAGATCCTGCTGACTCTGATAAAACTCTAATAAATCTGGGTCCAATTGCTGTAGTGTCTCCCTGGAGATCCATGCACAGTCACAATCTGGTCGACCAACCCAACGAACAAGGAAGCGCTGAACCTCTCCATCATTAGTGAACATAGTTTCTTCATCTAAAATAGCATCAATTTTTTCTGTGTGTGCTGTGAGAGGTGGTAGTGGGTTAGAAGGGGTCAAAGAATCAGGGTCAAGGTCCACAATAGGAGATGACAGAGGATCATCTGAGGGAATGAAATGACCTTTATAAGCTACAAGGTCCTCAACATTGAAAGTAGAGTGGTAACCAAGGTGTGGTGGAATGTCAACAATATATGCATTTGGACCAATCTGCTTTAAAATTTTAAAAGGACCAGCACTACGAGCTTGCAATTTAGAGGCGGGTCCATGTAGACGCCGCTCTGGCCTAATGCGAACCATAACATAATCCTCAATGTTAAACTCAATATGTCGTTTGTGTAAATCAGCTTGGAGTTTATATTTTGCATTACTAGCTTCAAGTTGTTTGTTGATCTCAATATGCAAGTCACGAAGATGTTGTGCAAATGCTTCGGCTGATACTGACACTCTAGCCTGTGGGGACATAGGGATGAAATCTAACGGTTTCCTAGGCTTGTACCCATGAACGGCTTCAAATGGACTCATACCTAGTGAACGATTTACAGAGCTATTGTACGCAATTGGAGCTACAGGAAGGATCAAATCCCAATTTCGAAGGTTTTCTCGGACCAGACAACGTAATAGGTTACCAAGATTTCGATTAACTACTTCAGTTTGACCGTCAGTCTGAGGATGGTAAGCCGTAGAAAATTCCAATTTGGTACCCATCTTGTGCCACAAAGTTCTCCAAAAATGGCTAGTGAAACGAACGTCCCTATCAGACACGATGGTCTTGGGAAGCCCATACAATTTGACAATTTCATTAAAGAATAACAGGGCAACCTTGGACGTAACCGACGTCTTGCTACAGGGGATAAAATGAGCCATCTTTGAGAAGCGATCGACAACCACAAAAATGGAGTCATGCTTCTTAGGGGTGCGTGGAAGTCCTAACACAAAATCCATACTAATATCGTGCCAAGGACAATTAGGGACAGGGAGAGGGGTGTATAGACCTATGTTCTGCTTCTTCTGCTTACTCAATTGACAAGTGTTACAAGTACTAACAATCTTATCCACGTCTTTCTTCAAGCTAGGCCAATAGAATTGACGTTCAACTTCCTCTATGGTCTTATCATGTCCAAAATGACCGGCTAAACCTCCCGTATGAATTTCCCACACGATGAAATCTCGCACTGAAGTTCGAGGGATGCATAATTTGTTGGCTCTAAAGAGATAACCCTCCTCAAGTCGGAAGCCATCTGTGGCTCTTGATTGTCCTCTTTGTAAATTGAGAAAGATATCTTTAAAATCGGGACACACCTCGTAATCCTCCTTAAGTCTTTCAAAACCGATGACCTTGACACTCATGATTGACAAAAGGGAGACACGACGACTTAACGCATCAGCTGCTTGGTTCTCTACGCCCTTCTTATGTTTTAAAACAAATGAATAGGCCTGTAAATATTCGACCCAACGACCATGCCTAGAACTTAATCTTTTCTGGGAGTTGAGGTAACGGAGGGCCTCGT